AAAAAAAAAAATAAAAAAGAAAGGAGAAAAAAATGGGAAGAAATAAAAGGTCGAGTTTGAAACTCGTTTCTCGGTAACCGTGATACCTGTTCGATTTTTTATCTATTTGAAAAGGAAGAAAGGAAGATAGTGGGGGAGAGGGGGGGGGGGAAGGGGATGGTAGTTAGAGAAAGCGATGAGACTCGTTGCAACCAGACGACTGGGGAGAGCGAGGAGGGGGTGCAAAACGCGCGAAACTGGAATAGAAATAAACCACCGGTCATATCCCATTTGATATTCAACCTCCGGCGTATCTGTCGTACTGCGCTTCCGTGTCTCCTATTCTTCTCGTTACAATGGAACTGCTGAACGTTACTCGTTGATTTAAATTTTCCGGTACATGGGCGTGCACAGCCGCGGCTGTGGATATCGCCCACCTCCGCCCCCTTCACCTGCCAACCCCCTCAACCGCCGCCACTTTTCGTTCGACACAAAGCGCCCCGTCATTTTTACCAGTCGAAGAAGAAACGAGGGTAAAAAAAAAAAAAAAGAAAAAGAGAGAGAGAGAGAGAAGGATAATAAAAATTAAAAAAAAAAAAAGTACAAGAGAAGTTATAGGAAGAAAGTGCTTCCTGAAACCGAGACCCTTCCGTTTCGACGAACTAACGAACTATTTGCAATCAAATTTCGATATTTTTTTTTTTTTTTTTTTCTCTCTCCCTCGTGCCTTCGCCACTTTCATGCCAGTGGTTCCGACGCTCTCCTGGTTTGAAAATCTTTTTTTTCCTTTTTTTTTCCTCCCCCTCTTGCCACATCTGCCCTCGTTGCCACAACAACCGCTAATTGGACTTTTATTGGGCTTCAATGGGCTTCCTTTCTTCCTCTGTAGAAGAGATTGGCTCTTTTCTTCTCGCGAGAGAATGTGCGATTGTTAAATCGACGGATATTTATAAGGATCAGGATAATTAATAAGGAAAAATTGGAAAAGATAAAGGATTGATTTTTTCCCTTCTCCAATTATAAGCCGTGCTTCTTCGTAGCCGTGCGAACTTTTCACTTCGAAAAACTATTTTGTGTATGAAGAAGTTCTCCATTTTATAGAGATACTCCTCCTTTCCAATGTCGCTTGGACGTTTCATGCTAAATCCATCATCGTTCTTCATTCGATTTTTCTATCCTTTCGATGGA